GGAAACAGGGCTGAAACAGAGGGGATTATGGGTAATGCTGCAATGATCTGTTTGGTGTTTGGAGCCAAACACTTCAGAGACATGTTCTGTATATATCTGAGACCTATAATATATTGATGAAAAACAGTATGATAGGGGACCTTTAATAACTCACCCGTCGTCAAAGTGAAGCAGTTTAATGGCCACATCGCAGGCCCACTCCTGATGCCGGCATTTATAGATTTTTCCAAAACCCCCCGAGCCGATCACTTCCCAGCCCGACAAACTGGACTCTTTAATAACTATAGGAGTCTGACAGGACAGTGCCATGGTTCCCTGGAGGAGGAAGTTATATCAAATTAAAACACTTTGCTTCCATAGAAATGAATTCAATTGTTCCTCTATTATAAAGAGGATCTTACCAGTCACTCAGTCAGCTTTAATTCCTTGATTTCACAGTGTCCACTCTTCCCTAAAGGGCCTTTAATCTCAAATCTGGGGGGAGGGGTTTAAGGACACAAGGTTTACACATTTTTCACAAGTTGGCCAGGCATGCTGACTCTGATATTTTTTAGAGAAAACGTGTTTAAATATCATTATTTTTACAAAGGAAATGTAAGTAAAATACAAAAAATTGCTTATTTACACGTCCAGTCATTATTAAGCCACATTCATTCAGTCAAAAAATCTCGGCCTAGGATTAAATTGTGGCATTTCATACATTTAAGCATTTAGAGAGACACACATTCACATAAAAACAAGTCTTCTTTGAATGTTACTGTTGATGTGATCATTTTAAAGTATTAATAAACGAAATACAGTCATAAATATAATATGTGCACGGTGTACCTTATCATTACAAATGTATCTCTTGTATTTTTTTAGATAGGAATAACTTCCTTAGAAGAATAAATATATCTTCCTACACACATAACAATAATTTAAACTTGAGCTCTGTCTCTTGTTCTTCAAAAATCGATTGTTTGTCACAAAAAATACAATACCCAAAGGTATTTCAATATATGAGAACTTGATATTGTGAATAATATATGCCATACTAAATATATTTGCTTGTCTCTTATGTGTTTTTTACACACATACCGTGGTTTCATACTACCCACATGGACACATTTTACTGGAATTTAAACAGGAAGCCACATTCTGTGTAGTTCAGGAAGCCTGTAAAATGCACAAATGCTCACTTATGCTTATATAACTTATCCATTATTCTATGGCTTAGTTTAAAAAAGGTTAAATACACCAGCTAAACACATCAGATCTGCATTAACACGACACAAATGGCCATATATATGAAAGAAATAACACAAGTTAAAGGTGGGAGCAACAACAAAAACATTTTTCTGATGAACTCAAACCACAGAAACACTAACAAGAATATCAAGGTGTTTTTTTTCAAAATGGGGAAACCACTCACCCTTAGAGATATACTCTTCTTCTTCATCATCATTCAACCGGTGCCGATGAAGGTGAATGAGTGTGAAAGTCCAGTCACTCATTAAGAGACTCTCTTCTGTCAGCAGCAGCTCTTCAACATGAGAAAAATCCAGAAGTGAAAGTCACTTCTACTTCTGCTCTGCTCTGTAAACATGCACGTGTGGTGACGGTTTATTAACCCTGTGAGTGTATTGTATTTGACTTATGATTTGATTTGATTTGTATGAAGATTTTTATTAAAAACATTTAAAAAGTACTTTAATTAAGGAACCTAGAGTGAGCTTGGTTGTAACACATGTTAGTGTAGTTATAGTTTAAATATCTCAAATGTATGAGAAATCTGATTATTTAGGCACCATGATCAAATTGTAGTTAAAAATCATGTTTAAAATGACTTATTGTTACACCAAAAATGGTTTTAGGTTTCGCCAGCAGAGGGCAGAGTCTAAAAATAAAATGGTTTACAGTAAATGGGTAGGGTTTATTAAAACCACTGACTATTACCTGGAATAGGTGACGCAATAAAATCACCTGCTCTGCAATGAGGTCACATGCCACTACAGTTTCATGTGACCTTTACTGTATTATTTGATAACTTTACGTAGTTTGCAGATTCAGATTCATAATACATAATAGGGAAATAAATTATGTATAGATTAGGACAGAACTTTATTGATCCTTGAGTGCAAATTCCCAACAAAATTTAAATGAACACAATTTTGCAGGGGGAACAAATGATGAAAGTAAAATATTAAATATTTAAAAATAAAATAAAATAGGATAAAATAAAATAAACACATGGTAAAAAAAAGCTGATATTGACAATGTTGAAAAAAAAAGTCAATATTAAAAATTAAGTCCATTTAAATGCTAAATGTTACCCTGACAGTGATGCCTACCTATGGTAATGCCCGGATGTAGGAGGGGACAAACCACTTCCTGACTTTTACACAGACGACTAAGGAAGTAAACAAATGAAAATTACAAGATAAAATGTGTTTTTAATCGACTGAATAAGGACATATCCAGACAAAAACGTGTTACAAATGAAATAAAGTCTCCTTTTAACAAAGCTCCTCTGTTATTGAGTCAACCAAGGGTTAACAAAAAATAAAGCCAGAAAACCCCCGCTTCTGACGTCAGTGGAAATCCCCACTTTAACCCAGTGCAACATAACATTTTCTATAATAAAATGACACTTTTAAACGTTTTATGAGCTATAATAAAACTCATATATGTAAAATAAATGCAGATGAAGCTACCAGTAAGGAAATATGTGTGATTTTTGGGGATTTATAGACATTTTAACACGGTAAAATGGTCCACAGGTGCATTTTGAATGTGTATGATTGTTGTGAAATATCATGTTGGTGTTGCAGCGACATTATTCCGGCTCTGTCCAGAAGAACCGCTATGGATCAGATGAGCTGTTGTTTCGTTTGGTTTCGGTTTGTCTTCGGGGTTTTTCTGAGGCTTCCTCATCCGGTCTTTCTTCCGTCATTTTATTTCCACAATCCCCTCTTTCTCTGCGATCATCTGGCTTTATTTTACGCGCAGTGAACTTCGCTCCGATACGTATGTTGTTGTTTTTATGATCCGCCTCCAGTCCACACAACAGCTGGAAACGAAACTCGGGAGGAAGGATCGAGCTCACGTAAGAAAACAACACGGAAAAATGTCATATTTATTACATTTAAATGCTCTTTTAAAACCATAACATGTCTTCGATCGGCTTCCTTACTCTGTCTCTGCTGAAACACGTGTTTTTATGAGGATACGTGCGTCAAAACACTCCATTTTACCGGGCCATGTTTGGTTTCTTTACGCTCGTTACACCATTTCTCTCAGTGTTTTCTGTGAATCGAGTGTGGTTGAAAAATAGCAGCAGGCATACAAGATATATTAATAAAAACACACACTCTTGTTTACATGGTTTAAAGGCAGAGGTGGAAAGAGTACTCAGATCTTGTGCTTGAGTAAAAGTAGAAGTACCATTTTATACCATTGCTTTTAAATGAGTGTTTTTAAATGTCATTTCATAATAGGCTATGTTTCTTAATGCTCTTAATGTCTTTCATTTTTGTAAAACACTTTGAATTGCCTTGTGTTGAAATGTGCTATATAAATAAACTTGCCTTGCCTTACCAGAGTGTAGTAATACTCTGTTACAGTAAAAGTCCTGCATTCAAAATGTCACTCAAGTAAAAGTCCAAAAGTATTATCATCAAAATATAGTTAAAGTACCAAAAGTAAAAGTAGTGATTGTGCAGATTGGTCCATTTCAGAATAATAGTGTTCTCAAAGCTGGTAAAGGAGCAGCTAGTTTTAATGACTTTGTATACTGCAGGGTAGCTTGTGAATTTACTCCAGGTGGAACCAAAGTCTAATTTAAGACTTGATTATATTTCACATCATTCATCCACATCTGTAAAGTAACTAAAGGTATTAAATACATGCCTCTTGAGTAGAGTAGAAGTACAAATTGGCAAACATATTAGAGTAAAGTCCCTCAAAATTGTACTTCAGTACAGTACTTGAGTAAATACATTTACATTACATTACATTACATGTTACTTGTTAGACGCTTTTATCCAAAGCGACTTACATACTCAATACTGTGGGCAATCCCCACAGGAGCAATTTGGGGTGAAGTGTCTCAAGGACACAACGACATGCTGACTGCAGTGGGGTTTGAACACACTACCCACTGCGCCACAGCCGCTTCTTTACATCACTCATACTAAGCTATGAGTGGAGAGACACTGCAAGTTTGTTGACATGTCTTAAAGGTATTCACATCAGGGCAAAGTGAGGGAAAAGTACTTGTTTTATGCTTCTTAAATATAGTACATCAGTGTATTTTTTTACTCCACTGCCTTATTGTGACAAGTAAAGTTACTCGTTATTTTCCAAAGTAAGATTTAAATGAAGTGCTATTGTTTGTTTGGACAACCAGCAGCTTAGCAACTTGGCTTGGTAAATATTAGAGGTTCAATATGGGGCCAGATCTTTATATATACACAGTACATAATACAATGTTTGCACTTGTTTTATACAGTAAACACATTTGCATACCACTTCATGAGTAGGTGAAACCAAACTGAAAAATAACGTCTGTATTATCTAATGCTGAAACACAAGAGTGGTCCTGGATAATAATAAGAAGCTTTAACAGTATACTATGGTTGTTAATTATGATTGTTGACATCAGTATTTTACGTTAAAAGATGTAATAGCCAAAAATAAACAAGGACGGATAAATATGACTAAAACTAGGGCAATTCTTAAGTTTTAACACAACATAATGCAACACAAGACTACATATTTTAGTAAATCATGAGGAACAGGTAACAAAAAAAAGCAAATATGCGTACAAAAAGTAAGAAAGTAGGTCAACTTATAGCACACTTTCATAAAATGTATGCTGTTGTGCTTTTTTCCTCGTAAACATTAAGAAATATAGCAGTCATACAGCCTTAGTTTTTCCCCCTTGTGTTCACATTAGCTGTGTTTGATTCATGTTTTGCAGTATGTTGGACACTTTGAAGCTTATTTGAGACCAAGGCATGGACTGTGAGAGAAGTGATGGAGGTGAAGGTGGAGAAGCAGAGGTGGAGGATGAGTTTGCGTGTGCCGGGATGCTTCGTGGATCTCTGGCCTCGCTGCACGGCACCGTGGAGCGGATCTTCAGGGTGACGTTTGGGATCGGAGATGACGATTTATCAATGGACAACAACGGGCAGATATGGCTGAAACTACGAGGGAGGAGCAACGACGTGAAATCGGCAAAAGTACGTTCTGTTGTTTTCGGGTCAAATCTGACCGATTTACTACTTTCATCAATCATAACTTTTTTGTTTTACATTCGATTGCATTAAGGCTTTATGATATCCTTCACAGTAGACATTTGAACACATAACATTGCTGATCACCACTTTCATTTAATATTGGATGATTTAGTCAACTTTGTAACACCCATGGTGTTCCCCGCCATAAAGAAAAGGAATTAGTAACCATCTGGGTCAGATAAAACACACACACACACACACACACACACACACACACACACACACACACACACACACACACACTCTCTAGATGTGTGTGTCCCCCCTTATGTGCCCATCCCCCCATGTGAATCACACCTGGCACTCACAAACACACACACACACACTCTAGATGTGTTCCCCCCCATTATGTGCCCATCCCCCCACACACACACACAGACCAATTTGACACATTTCCCAATCTTATGTGCCCCTCCCCCCACATGGATCACACCTGGCACACGCAATACATGTTCAGTGTCTATTCTTTGTATATGTACTGCAGTTGTTCATGTATACCAGTAGTCTGATACAATATGTACAGTTTGAAAGGGTGTTAAATGAAATTTGGTGATGATTAATGGTTTTTGTGTTCATGTAATAGCAGTTAAAACAGGACCGGTCAAATTTGACCGTGAACACCAAAGTAAGGGGGGGGGGAAACGAAGACAATAGGAGGGTTAAGTCATTCAATTTGGGCTGTAAAATATCAGACATTTCTTTAATTGTCTTTGTGGGGGAAACTTCTGAAGCAATTGGATTCAGGGCTCAAAGAGAGACACGATGGAGAGCTGGAGCTTTGATGGCAAACACTGAGGGTTTATTTGGAGCTTCGGCCGGAGAATTCACAAGACATGTCACGGGGCCACGAGTTGACCACACGGATATTAGAGATTATAATATACATAACATGTCATGTAAAGTTTACAAGATTTATAGAAAAGAAACCCCAATAAATAATATAATGGTATAACGTAGCCTTAATTAAGCGCTTTACTCTCCTTTTGTTTAAATAATTATGATATAAAGCGCACAGTCCTTTTCCAAATCTCTATCACTGTTCATTTCAATTTTCTTATGATTTATTTCTGATTGTGAACACGTTTTTAACACTTAAAGGTCCCCTATTATACTGTTTTTCATCAATATATCACAGGTCTCAGATATATACAGAACATGTCTCTAAAGTGTTTGGCTGAAACACCAAACAGATCATTGCAGCATTACCCATAATCCCCTCTGTTTCAGCCCTGTTTCAAAAGAGCTGATTCTCTGTCTGTTACTTTAGATGAAAATAAGGAGCCCCTCCCCACGCCCCTCTGAGAGAGATTTGGTTAAAAAGAACTCAATGGTGCTCTAGGAGGAGATTCAGGTGATAAGGTGGGGGGGGTTACCTTGATTGCTGATTGGCTAATGGTTACACAAGCCAACACATCGTTATGACATCACAAAGTGGCCAAAATCTGATCAGCTCATTTTCAGACAGGTTTTTATAGAAATGGATCAAAAAGAGAGAGAATCTTTGTTCCGGAAACTTTCAGAGTGTCTTTACACAGAGGGGACACATGTTGATGAAGAAGAGACATGAAGAAGAGGGGACACATGTTGATGAAGAAGAGACATGAAGAAGAGGGGACACATGTTGATGTAGAAGAGACATGAAGAAGAGGGGACACATGTTGATGTAGAAGAGACATGAAGAAGAGGGGACACATGTTGATGAAGAAGAGACATGAAGAAGAGGGGACACATGTTGATGTAGAAGAGACATGAAGAAGAGGGGACACATGTTGATGTAGAAGAGACATGAAGAAGAGGGGACACATGTTGATGTAGAAGAGACATGAAGAAGAGGGGACACATGTTGATGAAGAAGAGACATGAAGAAGAGGGGACACATGTTGATGTAGAAGAGACATGAAGAAGAGGGGACACATGTTGATGTAGAAGAGACATGAAGAAGAGGGGACACATGTTGATGTAGAAGAGACGTGAAGAAGAGGGGACACATGTTGATGTAGAAGAGACATGAAGAAGAGGGGACACATGTTGATGTAGAAGAGACATGAAGAAGAGGGGACACATGTTGATGTAGAAGAGACATGAAGAAGAGGGGACACATGTTGATGTAGAAGAGACATGGAGAAGAGGGGACACATGTTGATGTAGAAGAGACATGAAGAAGAGGGGACACATGTTGATGTAGAAGAGACATGAAGAAGAGGGGACACATGTTGATGTAGAAGAGACATGAAGAAGAGGGGACACATGTTGATGAAGAAGAGACATGAAGAAGAGGGGACGCATGTTGCTGTAGAAGAGACATGAAGAAGAGGGGACACATGTTGATGTAGAAGAGACATGAAGAAGAGGGGACACATGTTGCTGTAGAAGAGACATGAAGAAGAGGGGACACATGTTGCTGTAGAAGAGACATGAAGAAGAGGGGACACATGTTGCTGTAGAAGAGACATGAAGAAGAGGGGACGCATGACGATGTATAAAAGACATGAAAAAGGGGATTTTGCATGATAGGTGACCTTTAAACTTGAGGGTTAGCCTCCAGAGCACTTTGGCACTTTTCCGGTAAATGACTCATGTTCAAATGTTAAATAAAGACTCATGTCTGCGCTGACACAAGGAGCGTTCAGAGTGACTCACAAAAGGAAAATGGATTGTGTTGGTGGATGACTTAACTCAAATGTCTCTTTGTTACTCGTTGAGTGCTGAACTGAGCAACATGTGACCTGCACAATAACAAGACAATAACAACCAGGTCATGCTTCCTGTTTTCTCCTGAGACCAAACTCAGTCTGTGAGTAAAAAAAGAAACACAAATAAAGAACAATCAATACATTTTGTAAGACTCAATATAAATAAAATAATCATAATGAAACAACCTAAAAACAATAATTTATATCTTTAAATCTTGTATTTTATAGTTTTTTCTTACATTATATTATGCTATCTAATAACGGACTAATTTAAATCTGCTTTATTTAATATTATTGATATGACACTACATCGTAAAGACACTATCTGCCAATAGAGTTTGCTCATTTGTCCTGTAGGTGTACAGTAGATGTTCCTTTATACAGTATATATTGTTAATAATAAGATAAGATATACTTTATTAGGCCCAAATAGGGACATTTCTTCATTGCAGCAGCATCTAAAAGAAGTATTGCACATAATTAGAAGAAAATTAAATAGAACAGAACTAAAAGAGTGGAAAGATAATAGTTGACCGTGAAGACCGTGATATGTAAACTGTCTGACAAATAAAACACTATTGAAGGGCTACATTACAGCTAACACAGTTTAAAAGTTTTTTTTTTTTTACATTAGTGTGCAAGAGTGGCATATTAAATAAGATATACACGTAAAATGTACAGTGTGAAGTCCAGTTAAAAAAAGAGAAACTATGAAGCATCTCAAAACAATAATAAAAATAAGAATAATAACAATGAATTTGAATGCTATGATAATTCTTCCCACCCCATAATGGACACATAATATTTACATGATGTACTAATACTGCAGTACTTTCACCACTGTTTATAGGAATACTTTACCAACACAATAATGATAGTGAATATTTCTGTTTTGTAGTTATTTGTGAAAGGGCTGGTGAACCAGGAGGAGCAGCAGGAGCTCTCGTACCCCGGAGCGCTGCACTGCATCTTCAGTGGAGCCAGAGGGCTGTTCATGGACTGCCTGACCAAAAGCACCTCCGCACATATAGTGGTGAGTGTTGCATGCTGGGTAGAGATGGCAAAAGTGCACACATCCTTTACTCAAGTAGAAGTACAGATACTCGTGTTTAAAAATACTCTGGTAAAAGTAGAAGTACTGACTAAACTTCTTTACTCAAGTAAAAGTAAAGAGGGCTTTGAAATGTACTTCAGTAAAAAGTACCCATAACTAGCAGCTGTTTTAAAGAGTACCTGACCTCCCTTTATATTAATAGAACAATAATGTCATTGTTAGCTAATGAATGTTTCCATGCTGAACAACGGCAACATGACAACGTTTTCATTGGTCCCTCTTCTTTAGAGAAGACCAGAGGCCTGTACTACGAAGCTGGATATTCTCTTAGCCGGCTAAATTCAGGGAAATCTCGGGCTTTCCGGTCCTACGACGCTGGTTCTCTTTTTAGCAGGCTAGATTTCCATGGTAACTTATGCTGAGCGGCTAACCTCCTCGGGAGGAGGTTAGGTTGCAGGCTAAGAGATCAACTCAGTGAAAGCACTGCCTGCTGACCAATCAGAGCTCCGTGTGCGGAGTTTAAAGCGATCAATTCATATGACAGGAGGAGAAAGGAAATACAGTTTAAACTGCCGTTGCAGGAAAGACGACCGGCCAAAATCAACTGACTGTGTGAACGTGAAAATTAATAGAATATCCCCTCCCATCTTCAGAGCAATCTGACTATTATAACATTAGCGTTAAGAAAGCTTACTTAAATATCTGCCACGACATAAGTAACCGGATCAGAGTAACATTAAGTACAGTCCGCGGCACTGTGAGTGCAGACGTAGATGTGTCCCATTATCATTCACATCATATCACATCATAATGTATCATATATCTCCTTATTTGAGTCAGCTTCTTGAGCCGTATCTGGCCGTGCAACACTCACAGTGTCACATACTGTATGCAGAAGTATTATTTTAAGCAACACATTAAATTGACGAAACACTCGAGTCAAATGTAATTAAAGTCAGATCCACTCGTGTCTTGGACGGGGCAGTGATTTCATAAACCTGTTAATGTACGCATTCAAACACTTTTTCTGTTACCAGCTGTATTCACCTTGCAGGTGCAGCTATGTGGCTTTGATCCTGGGTAAAGTGTTTAAGTCATGGATGTTTAAAGTTTAACTTCCTCATATTTGACTAATATTAAAGTTCACTTTTCATTCAGGAAGTATGACGCTGCTCTGTCAGTACGCTTGTCCATGTTTGTGATTGGTCGAATGCTCCAAATACCACCCCTTTCATGTGAACGCGCACCTAACTAGATAGGACACGGCTGGCTTGAGCGATCCACTTGATAACCAGCGTCGTAGTACAGTTTAGCGAGAGCGCGTATGTTTTGGATTGGGCCAACCGGCTAACTCAAACATATCCAGGTTAGGTTGAACCAGCTTCGTAGTACAGGCCTCAGGAAATGATGGATACACGGATCGTGTTCAAATCAATAGGCACGCAATGACTCTAAATAATAATGATCACGCCACCAAACACACATTCAAACTAAAGGAACCAGCCTGTTTGGGAAATGTGAGAAGTAGAAAGTACAGGTATTTGGGTTCAACATGTAAGAAGTAGAAAGTACAGGTATTTGAGTTCAACATGTAAGAAGTAGAAAGTACAGGTATTTGTGTTCAACATGTAAGAAGTAGAAAGTACAGGTATTTGGGTTCAAAATGTAAGAAGTAGAAAGTACAGGTATTTGTGTTCAAAATGTAAGAAGTAGAAAGTACAGGTATTTGGGTTCAACATGTAAGAAGTAGAAAGTACAGGTATTTGGGTTCAACATGTAAGAAGTAGAAAGTACAGGTATTTGGGTTCAAAATGTAAGAAGTAGAAAGTACAGGTATTTGTGTTCAACATGTAAGAAGTAGAAAGTACAGGTATTTGGGTTCAAAATGTAAGAAGTAGAAAGTACAGGTATTTGGGTTCAACATGTAAGAAGTAGAAAGTACAGGTATTTGGGTTCAACATGTAAGAAGTAGAAAGTACAGGTATTTGTGTTCAAAATGTAAGAAGTAGAAAGTACAGGTATTTGGGTTCAACATGTAAGAAGTAGAAAGTACAGGTATTTGTGTTCAACATGTGAGAAGTAGAAAGTACAGGTATTTGTGTTCAACATGTAAGAAGTAGAAAGTACAGGTATTTGTGTTCAACATGTAAGAAGTAGAAAGTACAGGTATTTGGGTTCAAAATGTAAGAAGTAGAAAGTACAGGTATTTGTGTTCAACATGTAAGAAGTAGAAAGTACAGGTATTTGTGTTCAACATGTAAGAAGTAGAAAGTACAGGTATTTGTGTTCAAAATGTAAGAAGTAGAAAGTACAGGTATTTGTGTTCAACATGTAAGAAGTAGAAAGTACAGGTATTTGTGTTCAACATGTGAGAAGTAGAAAGTACAGGTATTTGGGTTCAACATGTGAGAAGTAGAAAGTACAGGTATTTGTGTTCAAAATGTAAGAAGTAGAAAGTACAGGTATTTGGGTTCAACATGTGAGAAGTAGAAAGTACAGGTATTTGGGTTCAACATGTGAGAAGTAGAAAGTACAGGTATTTGTGTTCAAAATGTAAGAAGTAGAAAGTACAGGTATTTGGGTTCAACATGTGAGAAGTAGAAAGTACAGGTATTTGTGTTCAAAATGTAAGAAGTCAAAGTAAAAAGTCGTCAGAAAAATAAGTAGTGGAGTAAAGTACTGATACCAGAAACATGTACTTAAGTACAGTAACAAAGTATTTGTACTCCACTACTTCCCACCTCTGATGCTGGGTAATCAATAGGCTACTGTGTTTTATATTTTCCCAATAAGGCAGGAGAAACGTAAAAGTGAGAATATGTATTATACGACTTTAAACCTAAATATCCTGCCTTTCTAAAAGTAAGCTGAATTAGCTGTTAGCATTTCTTGTTAGCATCGTGACCATGGATGTAAAGATAACTATCACTAGATGATTTTTATATCAAACGAAACTCAAAATGTGATATTTGTTACGCTAGTTCTGGAGTCATAAGTGTGTGTGTTGTGACTTTTTAGAAGGAATGTATTTACTTTGGACTCAAGAGGTTATACTTTCTTTTCTACGTGTTAACATTTATAGGGTAATGACTCCTAACAGGAATTCACTAATTTCTTTTATTGCACAAATCCCCTGCCAGTGCCATTTTTAACTAGTGTTGCAATAATGATATTGACTAATAATGTGATATCTTGCATTATTAATCCTCCAAGATTTTTACATTATTTGTCAATGTCATCAGCTAACAATGTGTCATACCCGTTATGAAGTAACACATGCCTCCTCATGTAACTGTGATGTTGCAACTGGGAATTTATAAGCAATTTTTTAGTAGTTATTGCAAAAATGTCCTGGGAATCCCTTTTTAATGTGTCTCAACTCTTAATAGGAATAACCAGTAAAGGGTTTATTAACTTGACTCACCTGATTATTTTATTCCAAAGACATGATGGGCTCACTTAGATGTCAATACTCTAAAGTATTTACCTATGTGAAAGTAGGCTCAAGAGAGTCCTTTTAGGTGAGTTTGTAGGAGAAAACCCCCAATCCCAACAGTTTAGATTGTGTAAACATGTGTAATCAATATGGATGGGTTAAACTCAACATCAGAAACAAAGTATTAGCCACATACAGCTTTAAGAAATCTGTGTGGGTTACAATGACCTTATGGAAAAGATGCCTACGCCCCCGACTGCTCATTAAAATGCAGTTTTTTTTTCATCTCCATTGTTTGGTTTGCCTGACCACAGTTGTCTGTGTAAAAAATAAACCAGTACAGAGTAAACGCTAATACTAATTACACTCAATTGTTCTGTGTTGAGGTGACTGTGGGATCTCTTCGAGTCTATTTGATTACTTTCACATTCAAACATTTTATATGTATCATTAAGTAAAGAGCTTGGTTGGTACCTACCTACCTACCTACCTACCTACCTACCTACCTACCTACCTACCTACCTACCTACCTACCTGTCTGTCTGTCTGTCATTTTCTCTGCTGCTGTATATCGGAGGGTGAACTCAAATGTCATTCTGTTTCTCTTTAATCTAAACCAGGTTGGCTCTACCGGATTCCTGCTTATCTCCGGTCTTGCGGAGCCGGTTGTTCGAGCCTACTCCCTCATTACAGACATGGTGGAGCGGTACGAAGGCACACAGTCCAGACGCTCAGAGACTACAGACAGAGGCATGGGCGAGACTCTGGATTCACGGCGGGCTTTCAAAAGCCTGGTGGAGAATTGGGAGGACAAACACATCCTGGATCTTCTGGTTCTCCCGGTGTTAGTGAAGGAAATCCTGCTGGAGTTGGTAATAGAATCGGGGCTTGGATCAAACCCTAGTCCAGATCTTACAGATGGAAACGCTGGGGCTAGACCACTCGAGGATTCGGGGATTCGGGAACCTTCATCCGTTGCGTACACATTCCCAGAGTCTCCTGATCGTTGGGTTGAAGGGATGACTTCAGCTTCTGGTAAAGACTCTGCCGCTTCCTCATTCCAGTTGTTGTCTTCAGGGTCCCGAGGATTGGCAGAGGGTGCTGACGAAAGACTTCTGCTTTCTCCACAAGAGGTTGTAGGACAAAGCGAAGCAGCATCAATAAGTACAGAGGTGAAAGACGTACGAGGGGTGGATGAAGAACAGGAAGTGCTGTTGTCAGTGGGAAACAAAGAGTTCTTGCTTCTTTTAAAGTTCTTCACAGCCATGGGGTACACAGAGGAGATTGTTAAGAGAGTCCTTGCCCGAACGGGACCTAAAGAGGCGTCGCAGATACTGGACGTTGTTCAACAGGAGCAGGAACGCAGTGACCATGAGGAAGGGAAGAAAACTCAAGACGGCGATGAATCGAACCGAAGCGAGAGGAACCGACCTTGCGAGACAGAGCACAGAGAAGAAGAAGACATGGAAATATCAGGAGGAGATGTGTTGATGAGTAGTAATGGTGAGGTTGGGGTAGTTTCTGAAGGGGAGGAAGCTGGCGCAACGGGAAGAGATCGACCCAAGGAGAAAGAGAAAGGGCACGAGGAAGACTTTGTTCTGGGGGTGGTGAAGAAAGCGGCAGCCAGCTGTGGGTACATGGAGCAGAAAGTGACCAAACTCTACAACATGTTGCCGGATGGATTCACTCACAAGCTGCTCCTGGAGCTGCAGAGAGAGGAGAGCAAAGAGTTGGTTGCCAAAGTACCAAGAGAGATGGACGATGTGGTGATAGAGAAAGAAGGACCAAAAGTGCCACCATCTGAGGACAAAGCAAAGGAAATGGAGCTTGTTATGCCTGCAGTTAAAAGAAAATCTGATGATAAAAGATGGGGAGAAGTGCCGAAATCACCTGAAGCCGAGTTCATATTCTATAAACACACAAACTCGCCATATCAAGTCTGCCTTCCTGAAGTCAAAGGGCCACCCATGTCCACATATCCTCCATCTTTTGATCCTCCACCCACCTTTAACCAATCCAACATACAACATGGTCGAAACAACTTATGGCAGAATCCATCAACGTCGAGACAAAAGCATCCAACCCAAGAACCTGTCCTCAACTCAAAGCCCCATTACTTCAAACCCTTAAAAAAAGCTTTCCAAGCTCCTCAACACCCCATCTTCACAATCCATGATTTGCCTCCCATGAAAGCGAGGGAAAAGCAAGGCTTCATGGCCGTTTCCTCAGTCGTGGTGACGGGGGAGCAGCGTTTCCTGGAAGGCCTTCAGATGCCCTTCGATCTGAAGCTCAAAGACCAACCTGGGGACCCAAACGTGAGGACGATCATCATCGACGGGAGCAATGTGGCGATGAGGTAGGAAATAATTGATCTGAACTGTTTAACTTCCTAGAACTCTAGTTCTGTTTAACTTATTACATATTGTGTTTCCAGTCACGGGTTGGGTCACTTCTTCTCCTGTCGAGGGATCGCTCTGGCCGTCCAGCACTTTTGGGATCGAGGCCATCGTCACATCAGCGCCCTGCTGCCTCAGTGGAGACAGAAGAGCGACCCTAAAATCAAAGGTATCACTTCCTGTTCCTCTAGTACAGCGGTTCCTAACCTTTTTCATCTCAGGGCCCACTTAAGAATCTAACATTTTTTCGCAGCCCACATTCAACCATAAACAATATGGAGGCTAAATAAAGTTCTGATTGGTCGATTCAGAACATGTGACACGTTGTCAATCCAGTAGAACAGACCGTTGTCAAGGACTGTAATGACCGTTGCTAAGGAGGATCGAGAAAGAGAAAGGAAAGGCGGTTCAAATAAAAAAAAAAAATCTTAATAATGAAAATGTTTCCACACAAATCATAATGTTTTGCAAATTATTTGGCGGCCCACTTGCAATTGCTCTAGTAGTATTATAAACCTGATATTAGGAATTTGCCCTCTTAGGAAAAACAGGGGAGAACAGTCTATCTTTTCCTTAGATAAACAAATGAATCGAGTCGTGGCACCTAAGACAGGTGGCACCTGCAAGGTCATGCACAGTTCCAACAGTATGAGATAACAGTAGCAAACAGTACTTTTCCCCAACAACGTGTACATTATTTTCATCATGAATTAGTCTTATAATTACATAATATCATTCAATTCGGGCTGTAAAATGTCAGACAATTCTTTAGTTCCATATAAATGTCTTCAAATTTGTTGTTTTTCTCTGACTAACACCCCAAAATAATCAATTTCCAATCACATGAAACTAAAAAACAGGTAAGCAAAACTTTTGAAAGGATAGATCTAGGGATTCTTTACACTAAAAATGTATAATTACCCCAATAAATAATACAATAATAATACATAATAATAAAACATGACACTTATATAGCGCTATTCTAAATACTCAAAGACGCTTAGACAGAGAATAAAACAAAAAACGAAGAAAAATACATAAACAGACAAACAGAAAAGAGGGGGGGGGGGGTGGTCAGAGGTTGAATGCAGTGACAATATAAGTGTCCTTTAAAAAAAGTATGAATCAATTGAGTTTCTAGATTCTCTTTCTAACCTTCTCAACGCTTGTTTTTGCAGTGTAGCTCTCATCGTTCAATGGGTTGTGTGTTTTGAAATGACGAAGGCTCTTCCGTGCATGTGTGCTGCTTTTATATTTGATGAAGCGCAGACTAAACACGGCTCTGTTTGTTCGTCCTCTCAGAGCAGCACTATCTGACCGAGCTGCAGAACCTCGGCCTGGTCTCCTACACCCCGTCCAGAGAGGTGCAGGGCAAGAGAATCAGCTCCTACGACGACAGGTACACACCATGTTCAGATCAACACTAATAACTTAAACAAATATAATCTAAGAAAATACAGAAATATTCAAAATTAGTCATTATTTGTAGTTCAGTCAGACAACTCACATGTTTCTTTAACGTGTTTATTAGAAGCTGCATATAGTTGAGTTTGGCGTCTAGGCTCGGGCCTCATCACTCCACAGATATACATAGCACGATGAGTGATGATTAAAATAACTAACCCCCCGAGCCTACAGGTGGAAGCTGGGGTGGAAGCTGGGGTGGAAGCTGGGGTGGAAGCTGGGGTGGAAGCTGGGGTGGAAGCTGGGGTGGAAGCAGGGGTGGAAGCAGGGGTGGAAGCTGGGGTGGAAGCTGGGGTGGAAGCTGGGGTGGAAGCTGGGGTGGAAGCTGGGGTGGAAGCTGGGGTGGAAGCTGGGGTGGAAGCTGGGGTGGAAGCTGGGGTGGAAGCTGGGGTGGAAGCTAGGGTGGAAGCAGGGGTGGACGCTGGGGTGGAAGCAGGGGTGGAAGCAGGGGTGGAAGCAGGGGTGGACGCTGGGGTGGACGCTGGGGTGGAAGCTGGGGTGGAAGCTGGGGTGGAAGCTGGGGTGGAAGCAGGGGTGGAAGCAGGGGTGGACGCTGGGGTGGACGCTGGGGTGGACGCTGGGGTGGACGCTGGGGTGGAAGCTGGGGTGGAAGCTGGGGTGGACGCTGGGGTGGAAGCAGGGGTGGAAGCAGGGGTGGAAGCTGGGGTGGAAGCTGGGGTGGAAGCTAGGGTGGAAGCAGGGGTGGACGCTGGGGTGGAAGCAGGGGTGGAAGCAGGGGTGGAAGCAGGGGTGGAAGCTGGGGTGGAAGCTGGGGTGGAAGCTGGGGTGGAAGCTGGGGTGGACGCTGGGGTGGAAGCAGGGGTGGAAGCAGGGGTGGAAGCTGGGGTGGAAGCTGGGGTGGAAGCTGGGGTGGAAGCTGGGGTGGAAGCAGGGGTGGCATTTTTAATATGCCATCTCTCTGGTTCAAGTATATTTGAGCCTCCTTAGGATCAGGTTGCAGTATGGGGAATCGGGGATATGCATTATTGTTGCCGCCATTCATCACTTTTTAAAAGCCCCACTGTGTGGCGCCAAAAATCTAAAGATGTAAGGTTTGTCTCAAGGCTGTTTTTAAAATATGTATTCCCCCCCCCTTTCTCCACAGATTGATACTGCAGCTCGCGCAAAAAACAGACGGAGTGATCGTCACTAACGACAACCTGAGAGACCTTTCAGACGAGTCCCAGGTGTGGAGGGAAATCATCAAAAAGAGGTTATTAAAACAACTAAAGTGACATTTCTGATTATCTTTCTCTGAATATAAACACATCTTAGAACAGCAAACTCCCATGAAAGGTGCTATACAAATAAAGCCTATTATTATGTCTTCTTTACCCTCATTTTAAATCTCCATAATACCACGTTTCCTCCCCTCTCAGACTTCTTCAGTACACGTTTGTGGGGGATCACTTCATGGTGCCGGACGACCCTCTGGGCAGAGGAGGGCCTCACCTGGACATCTTCCTACGCTCAGATCACAGGTACAACACACACACACACACACACACACACACACACACACACACACACACACACACACACACACACACACACACACACACACACACACACACACACACACACACACACACACACACACACACACACACACACACACACACACACACACACACACACACACACACACACACAATCTTCTTATTGCTTTTTATCAATACATTTGCTGTGTAGATGTCCGCCTTTTCTCCAATATCATTGAACTAGATGGTGCTCAAAGCGGCAGAACATACATTTAAAAAAAGTCACAAGCAATGTTTATTACGAGAAATTACAACCCAGTTTTTCAAAAGCTTCATTCACCAACTATATCAATGCGCCATTGGTGTTTTTCTTTGACATTTGAGCACCTAAAGCTGAGTGATCTTGATCCATTGATAGAAGAGAAGAAAGACATTTCTATAGCTGATCTCTCCAACACTCAAACCAAAACAATCTGGACTTTTTATACAACTAGTGGAATCAGTGATGATGGTAATTAAACACGAGTATATGTAAGAGGAATATGTATTTTTGGTAGAGGTTGTTGTTTTTTTTTTAAGGGGGAAAGGTCCCTTTAAAATCCACCAAGCATGTATTCTTCTGCGTATTTTCTGCAGGGGAGCTCAGAAACTATATATTTCTGTGTTTTCTGAATCAATGTTTCAAATATTTTTATTGAGAAGAAGCATACAAGTGGAAGCAATAATACAGACTTCTTTGGGGTGGAAATCATGCTTCCTTTTTTGTGTTTTCTGAACAAGTTCTCTTGTTTCTTCACAGGACCCCAGACCCAGGAAACCACTCTTTTGCCGGTGTCGCCACAGCTTTCCCTTCTTCCAAAGAGCCGCGCTCCCAAACCGAGCTCCTGAACTTCCGCGACCGAACTCCAGGTGGAGGGAGCCGGGGAAAAGCCAGAGGACATGGAAAGGGATTGGACTCGGGACACCAGGGGAGACATTTTGGGGCTTCAGAAAGGACCCCGGAGGAAACAGCCAGTTTGAAAGAGCAGCTGTGTCAGGTTTTCCCCGGTCACGACAACATGGTGGCGCTGGTTCTGCAGAGTCACCCTTCAGAGACGGACATGAACGCACTGTCTGTTCTGATGTTGGAGCACTAGAAGGACTCTTTTAGTCTTAAAAGTTATCGTAGTTTAATTTCCGACTGTTTTTACGCTGAAGTGTGGCTTGTTTCAGTGATGTGATTGTGATTGTGTTTCTTACCAAAGCAACCACAACAAATCCCACGAGTCATATGTCTGCTTTAGCAAGGATTTCACAGAAAGTCAGCTTGTGAAACTTTCTGTTGACTCGCATAGAAATTAACTAAGATGTTCTGCTTTTTAATACAGAATCTTAATCTGATGTATTCCCTACTCCATTTACCAAAGTCTTGAGAGGCAAGTGAGATGGCAGATAAAAGAAATAGACAATTTATGACTCAGGGACAATGTTTTTTAACAGGTGAAATAGCTTTTGTCAGAACCATTTTGTCTGATTAAGCAGTTTTATAAATAAGACTAAAGGCATCTTATCTTTGATTAATAATCCCCGCATCTACCTCACTTCTATCCTATCTTCCTACACAATTAGAAAAAGATTTGTCTGTTGCTGTTGAGCCTTACGTACATATGGTTTCCCCAAAAAACGTCCCATGGTGGTCGGGTAGGGATTTATCCTTTTGAAACAAGCAAAACTAATGACATTCCTAGCAGCTTCTGATGTATTGTGTGTTTAATTCACAAATGCTAACGGGTTAAACTAACAAATGAACATGGTGCTGCTGTCAAACATCAGCATGTTAGCATGCTAATGAGAGCATTTAGCTTAGCCTACAGCAGGGGTGCCCAATGCGTCGAAGGTAGTGTGAGTATATCGCATGGCATTGAAAAAAATAAATGACAACAATTAAATTGAAAGAAAAGTTAGCCTATCATCCATCATTATTATGGCATTTGCCACTTGATTGCCGTACAGGTAAGCCAGTCTGAAATCGCATATTTTCTAACACGCAGTTCACCACGTATGTGCGGTCAACCGCGCCAGCTGCAAATCACCGGCGAGCTGATTACCTAGTTAGCCGTCCAATTTATCCATTTATTCTAAAGAAAGGGTATAAGGGGGGCCTCACCTCCTCATCTGAAGCGCAAATGCGGCACAATAAGTGTAAGCGCGCCACAGGTTCGAGGTTCCGGTGCTCGCAGACCACTAGCACTCAGGCCTCACCACATGACTTTGGGCAGGGGCGGCCCTGTAGGTAGATCACTTTGACTTGGTCATTTTAAAAGTAGCTCCCAAGCTGAAAAAGTGTGGGCACCCCTGGCCTACAGCTTCATAGAGCCACTCAAGTCTTAAAACACATCCAATGCTCTTTAAAACATCCGCCTATCAACACCTTTATGAGGGTTTTTCATCCAGCAGCAATATTAAGCTTTCAGTCATTTTATTTTGTGTTATTGTTCAAAAACCAGCACTTCCTGTTTGCCCTTTGAGCAAATGGAGTTGGAGTGATTTTTTAAAAAGAGGACTTTTATCTTTTCTATCTTTTAATCTAACTTTAGCAATCGGTTGTTGTTTTTTATTTTACTTGCTAAACGTCATCTTTTAAAGCTACATAGCAGTCAATAATTAATCAGAACTCTTTCAAGGGGGTTATTGTTGTTTTTCACCGTGTTAGATGTTATTTTCCAATGCTAAAATAATACAAAATCATCCTTACAATATTGTGTACACTCGATTTTATATATTTTTAATTTATTTTAAACAGGTTTAATGCTGTTTTGATCGTAGCTCTGATCGTACCGAGTGTCTGTGCTTCAGGAGGGGAAACAAAATGAGTTCATTTTTCATCCAATTCTTCATATGACTGAAGATCAGATCTTTAATCAAACCATTCGAATGCAAGTCGTTAAGTTCATCAACTGTAAGATAAAATGGTCTTATTGGTTTGTTTTATATTTGTATATTTTAAGAACTTAATGCTGACGTCTGCCTATATTTCTGTATTAAAGTTTTCTTAATTCAAAGTATAAAATGTTTGTAGAGTGTTTTCATTATTCTCTGTCTCTGAATTGGTTATTCCAGTGTCTTATATCGTGGAATTAGATGTTTAAGAGCATGTCAAATATAGAAAATGTTATTATAACACTGAGCCTACTTGTCGTGGCTTCCTTCCTTGTCTTTCCATCAAGCCACTAGACGCCTTAAACAGAGAGTTCTAACTCGTTTCTTTCCTTTAAATGACTCACAGTTTGAAGTGTTGCTTGGCCTCCGATGGTTTAGATCAGGGGTGTCAAACTCAAGGCCCGGGGGCCAAATCCGGCCCGTGACTTCACTTCATGTGGCCCCACAAGAGCTTGCAAAGAATATAATATGTTTATTATACGGTTACATGCTACTTTACAAAAGCACGTTGCCCATAAACTACATGTCCCACAATGCATCTCAAATGTGACTTTTTTTTCTCAAAATGTTACTTTTTTTTCGAATTTCCATTTCTTTTCATTGATTTTGACTTTTCTTTTCAGAATTTGGCTTTTCTTTTTAAATCATTTTGTGACATTCTCACTGAAGAGACTTGCAATTATTTGCCCTAGACTTCTGCTTTGAAACGTAGTTAATGATGAAGTTATTACCCTATCTGATAATAATCCAATGCAGAGGCAATCATGTAATATAATACATTATTTTATATATATTCAATATTTATATATGTATATTTATATAGTCTTATATATAAAACTGGCCCTTTGAGTGCAACCATAATGCTGATGTGGCCCGAGATGAAATTGAGTTTGACACCCCTGGTTTAGATGATGTTGCGATGTGTTTGCTCAAAATAAAATAACAAACTTTTCCACATGCAACAAAGAAAATAGGCCTTTACAATATTCAAAAGAAATAGGCAAAACTAAAATAAAATAACAAACAACTTAGGTATTCTTTCTTTCTTGATAATGCTTATAACTTCATGACTTAAAGGGTACTTGTACGATTTGTATGTACGTGTACGGTTAAAAACTGTTCCTCGACGGCGTCTCTCAACAGGTTGCCCATCACTGTGGCTTTAGCACAGGCGCCGTGGGAAATGTAGTCCTTTATAGTGCGTTGACTACAGACGTCACAATTAGGTGGCCTTTCTTATCAAATCAAAATACTGGCTCTAACACTACTTGTATTTATAATTAAAGACTGAGTTGGAGCTAAAACAGTGAAGTGGGGTGATTTTAAGAAGATTTAAACAACTGTATAACTTAATTTAGGTGTTTTTAACATCAATTTTGGAGATATGTGACCAAAGTTTCATCTACTCTTCATGAATTAATTTCCTTGTGAAGCAGGTCGGGCCGTGTACTTTTTGTCACTTTGATTTTTCGTTTAAGCCAAAAAACGAAAATACCAGGCTTTTTTCGTTTTTTCGTTTTAAATCAAAAATGTTGTCTGAATAAAAAAAACGGATAACAAGAAGTCCTAATTAAAAAAACGGTCCGATTTTGGTTTTTGATAACAACTTCATTCAATTTTCCGTTTTTTTAAAGCCAGTCTTTGAAAGAACCACACCTTGTTTTTGGGTCAGATCGTTTATTCAGTTTTAGACAAAAAAAACATCCAGTTAGAACTTGATATAACGGTACATTTGACAAAAATTGTGATATACATATTATTACCATCACCAAAATTCACCCATAACGTAAAATATTTTATGAAAAGCACATGTCTTTTTATATATTTTTTCTCATAAACATAATAGACAACAATTCAAATGAAGATTACAGGTTTCACACTTTAAGAGGATAAATAAACATGTACTCTATGAATAACTACTACAACAAAAACATATCAAGTCATTCAGATGTTCACAGAGGCAAACACATGTTAAATTTAGTGTCGCCCATTTTTCTCAATTTCTAATCCTCAGTTAGTAATCTGTTAGTAATTTAGTTTCTCCCCTCTTCAGGCTGTGATTTCTATATTTGAACTAGAGCCATTCAATAAACCCAGAGAGCAGACACATATTAGAGAAGAGTGAGCTTGTTGCAGTAAATATACCAATGGGTTTACTTAGCGCAGATGAAATTAAACTTTTCACTGTCAGCCTTTTTGTACCACTTTCCATCTCTCTTCATCGCTACAGCACTGTCACAACGAACAGTCTTTTTTTTGGGGGTCAAGTTGGGATTGCAGACCGAACGATCACTGACCCTGAAAGACAGATCCAGAGTGCAGGTGTAGCGCATTCCCAGCCAGACGAACTCAGTGTCGGCCATCTTGGCTCTCTTTTCGACCCATCTCTGCTGGTGACGGTCAGTGATGGAGACCAGGACACGGTGGTTCGCTCTGCAGTAAGTCAGGGCCTCATCCCAAGTCTTCTTCACTTTGATCAGGATCACTTTGTCTGGCACTGAAATGGATAATAGTTTTGAGACAAAGTAACCACTTATTGCAAGTTATCATAATAAAATAACTCAACTATATAAACATAGCAACTTCAACATTCAATCATAATTTTGATGTAAAAGCCAGGCGAAAAAGATGTTAGGAGAAAGGAAAAAAAAGACTAAATGATAATCAAACTTTCAGGTCTTTCCTGGTTTTATAATTTTAAGTTAAATCATCTTTTATACATAGTAATAAACACATAATCCAAATCTGCAATTCTTTGTATGTAATAAATATTTTCACCACTGAAGTAAATTCAACATACCTTTATGAATATATATAACTAAACACAAAATATTAATATACTTTCAAAGACTTTTGCAAAACTCACCGTCATAGCAGTAGAAGGGTTTTTGATCTGTACAGATGTCGGAGCTCCACTTTCCATTTGGCTTAGTCATAGCACAAGTCTTTGAGGCTACATCTTCAAATGAGTCCGGATCCCAGTGTCTGAAAGAGACGTTCTTCCCATCTGACCAGCTCCAGATCTCTCTGAACAGGCCGATCCACAAGAACTTATCTGCATCTCCGTAGTCAGGATAGCTAGGCTGATCGTTGAATTCAACTGAATTGATATGTTCAAGTCCACTGACCAGGTCAGTGTGATGTTCTCTGCAGTAGCTCTGAGCCTGAAGCCAGTTCAGTTCAGGTTCATCAATTACAAAGTATTTCTGTTGCCCTGTTTCTGTGTGAACGAAAAGACACATTTTACTTCTGGTATAATAATGTAGATTGAATAATAAAAAAAATAGGCCTTAACTTTACCATTACAATGTATTTAAACAAGTAGAATTGTATCAAAGTTACCAATAATGTTATGTTTAAGGTGAAAAGCAAAAATGTTTTTCAATTTAATTTAACTCTACACACGTGTACAACACATGAGTTATCTGTCAACTATTGTTACACACTATCAGTGGCGGCTCCAGAGTATTTTTGTTGGGTAATCTATGGTAGGGCTAACCCATACAGTGGTGGGGCTCAAGTCAGTATTTGCAATGTAATTACATACACGCTATATCGCCACCCTTGACAGTGAAACGCCACGCGTGAGGTTTAGATTATTTCCCTGTCTCAATCCAAATTGAACTGTATGAAATAAAAAGGCACATTTGTCTTGTAGTAAATAAAAAGGGCGACCTGGAGCCAATCCTGCAATTTCCCCACAGGTGAAAGAGTTGACATGCTGAAGACCCAACCCCTGCAGGGGGGTCTGGGGGGATTCTCCCCCAGGAGATTTTTTAAAATACTAACATAAAATACACATTCTGGTACTCTCTTGAGAAGAAAATAAATAAATCTATTTCTACACGAAATATTTAAAAAAATGAATGGCATTTTAGTTTTGTGTGAATTTGTTCTGAAAGCTGAACCTGCTGCTCCTCACAGAGAGAAGAGGGAAGAGGCTGTGTGAATTACTTTACATTGTGGATAAGGGTGGATAGCCCCCATTGTTCTGTGTGTCAAAATGAAAGACAGCCCACACACCTATCAATCATCAAACCGTGGGGTCTTATTTCATTACGTGTTGATTTCTATCAACACGTAATGTTGTATCGATGTATATAGAGATGTACTACAGCAAAAGTATTCTCCGTCGGGACTTCCTGCAACAACACCACGCCGTTATCGTGATTCTGATTGGCCAGAAGACATTATCAAAGATGTTTTATTGAGAAGACGATCACTACGTGACAAAAGTTTTCAAAACCGTTTCTAGTCTTCGGTATTTCCAGACAAGTGGCTACTGAAATCAATCTCACTAACTGCTGTCTGTGCAATTTACTCCGCGCGAGTTGGCGGACTTTATTTTGCTTACTTTAACATCATTTTTTATGGTCGGGCTAAGGTGGGGCTAAGCCATTTCTTGGTATGGCTGTAGCCTACCCCAGCCATACCCTGGCGCCGCCACTGCACACTATGATATGATTTATATAGCGTTAATAATGACAGATACTCACCATTGTAGCAGATGAACTTGCGTCTCTGAGAACAAAAGGCATCGGTCAATTTTTTTGAGTGTGTCATCATCACACAGTTCTGAGGATTGACACCTGCATTGTTCGGCTCTTTTGGATCCCATTCAGGTGCACATCCTGGATCACATTCTGTAGGATTGTACTTCTCCCCCGGCAGAGACCAGTGCCACACTTTAATATCTCTTTCATTGATGCTCCTCAGTCCAATCCAGGCGTCTGTAGTCTGTGAAGAGTTAGTCAGTCTCTCCACGTCTCTCATGTCAGACACTGTGGCCAGGTCAGTGAAATGCTCTCTGCAATAACTCTGGGCTTCATCCCAGGTCTTTCCCTCTTGAATGAAGTGGTACTCATAGAGGTCACATGTGAAGAAGGAACACTGACCTAAAGATAGAGACCATTCTGCAGTGATGGAGCTGACAGTATGACAAGCACCTGATCATTAAATCAAACTCATGAGTACTAGAATCACCCCCACCTCTTACATCGTCCCCTTCATCTTAATGGAGCTCTGAGGACACTTATTCCACGTTTTATTGTTATGAGCTGTTTCATGACTCCAGATGTGATATCAGTTACAAATCTGATAAGATGATCCACTTACCCATCAGAATCAGCA